ACCACCTTTGACATGCCAAAACGACAAGAGAAACAAGTACTTTCGGCATACTTACGCATTGTACAGATGAACAGCATTCTGCTGCAGCAATCCAATGAACGGGTGCAACCAAAGGAGAACACCACAAATCCAGAGCATGATCCAAAAAGTCAGGCGTGAGTACTCGATGCCTAAGATAGGAGTCTTGTAGACTCTCCACTTAACAGCATATGCGTAGAAATARACAATCAAGGCCAAGGATGCCTTATCTCTGAGGGGTGGGAATCCAAGCCAGATAAAGATGCTAAATACGATGATCAGAGCATTGACCCACATCGGAGTGACAACAACGTATTCCTCAATAAACCAGGGTAAAAACGTCATGGCCAAAGTAAACCCACTGAAGTTGGAGAAAAGACGAAAAATATAGTACAGTGTACGACGTCGTTCTAGCAAATTCTTGAGGAAGTAAAACAGAAGGAATGCTACCAAGATGGAAGTAAAAAGTGAGATAGTCTTGTACATGTGAGGGCCAAATTTAGGCACGCATTCGGCACTTCCATTATTGAGCGTAAGTTGTACGATGGTATTTGGATTATCAACTATCTCAGAACTAGTGAAATTKTTGGTCTTCTCGTCAGGGCAAGTGAATGGAAGGCGAAGAATGTCGCCAAAGAAGAAATCCACTATATAAGCCGTTGGGATGGCAAACGTGAAGGCGGATACCCAGGGGAGAACGAGAGAAACGACGAAGACCAGTATGACTAATATTAATGCATCTAGTATTGCCACACAAGGGTTTCTGCAGTCACAGAATGGATTACTATGGGTAAGAAGGTGATCAAAGTATTCTTTATGCCAGGATGGGTCATCTCTGTTTTCGTTGCGATATTTCCAGTCAAGATACGATGCCCCTGTGTACCCCCCTCCGGAAACACAGCTCAGGTAATCGATGGAGAYCTGTTTTTGGAGCATACGGCGCAGGACACCAGAGCAGATTGCAGCTGACCGTACACCACCACCAGAAAATGCAAGCCCAGTTTTGTCATTAGTTCGTTTAGACATGATAGTGATGAATRAGCTCTAACCACTGAAATTGAATAAGAAAAAATAAAGAAAAAAACATAGGACCAACAAACCGGAATCCAATTTGTTTATTCTGAGTATGATTACAGACCGAATTGGGCGACACAAATTCATGTTACTTACAATTAATTATGACTTTTACTATTTTCGATAGCATATTTTCTATAACGCATTTTGGTGAAAAATTAGGGAAAGCTTGAAAAATGTCATGAATTCGTGTGCTCAATTCGACGGCGTATAGCAATAAAATCTAGAAGAATAGAAAGTAAAGCGCGAGAGCCATGCGTTGATAGTTATAATAATTTAGCATAAATACACAGGTGATTATTGAAAATCTCGCGCGCTGATTGGTCAAGAAACTCAGATTATCACACGATAATCACCTCCAGCGATCCAAAATGGCGGCCAGCCGCTTTGTTGCTGTTTCCTAATTTTAAATGTGTCTTTTATCTTGTTTYCCCCCCCTTTTTTGAAAGAATCACCTGTGTATTAATACTAAAACAATTATTCACCTCAGGCTCAGTGAATATGCTTTCCATAATTATCGAAAATAACACACGAAAAAGCATAAATTAGAGATTCGACGCGCCGACAGATTAGAACAGATTAGAGAGGAGAGAGGAAGTTCTAATCATCCAATTTAATTAATATCTAATTAAGTTTTTTTGTTTGTTTGCAGGGGGAAGGCTGAAACAACTGGGAAGAGGGAAAAAGATTCATAAACTAGGAATGGCGAATATTAAAATGCGTGTTTCACAGTTCTATCCACTCTTTAGAACATCAATCAAAGATCGAACATTAAAGCTACTCAAAATAGATAGCCTAAATGTACATCTCTCTGCTCAATTTGTATGTATTACTTTGCATTTTGAATGTTCTAAATCCAACTCTAGCCAGCACTTAACATGTCATACCTTAAAGAAGAAGATTTCTTTTTAGAAGTAACGAGTTATCAATTTTAGATTAACGTTTTTTCTTCTCGCAAATGGTAAACACTGACTGACAACGTTTTTATCGTTTCCCTGTATTTCACTCAACGTTTTGTAACCGGCCCTTTTCAACAAAGACAATTATAACATTCATTTGTTTAACGGTACAACTTGGAAAATTTTGCGAATCCTTTTCACATTTTTTAAATTTCTCTGGTCAACTGTGACGTTTCACCGTGTCCTAAACGAGATTCTAAAACTCTCTTAACCKAGCAAAATCACCAGTGAGTAAGAGTCCTTTCAACTGGTAGTGTATTTACTTAGGTCAGGAGCGGCCACTATAAGACTTATCGGTCTGTTCTTCGAAGCGGGGAAAAAGTTATCAGTTCGTATAAACCTGACCACCCCCTTCTTGTGATTATTGATGAGTAAATCTTACTTACTCTATGTTACTTACACAARTATTTCTATATTATTATCCTAAAAATATGAAAGTTCTCTCTTAAAATATTACTTTATAATTTATTGATTCATATAAAAAAAATTGTTCAGTTTTCATATCAGTTTCAAGTGGTTTTCTGTTCTGTAGATGTATGTTGTTGTGTTCTTACCTTTTTGTGGAAAACCTCCGCCTTTTTCCTTCTTTCTTTTCTTATTCAAGGACTTTATCAGATGTTCATTCACACGTAATTAGGATACTTGATATGGAAACYACAGCGCTGAAGAAGAGAAAATGTTTACTTAGGTTGTTGAATAATGATAATTMAAACGCAAGCAATGGAGAGAATTCAAGCAGTCTCTTGATCTTGATTCAACTCAAATTAGTACTTATTGAAAAGATACRGCTTWTGATTGATATAGTTGTAGTTTTAGKGTTTTGGTATTGAAYTTTATATAGTTTATTAGGATRATCTTAGTATCTAACGAAAATGCACGGATATAGYTTKTGATATCGAAATAAAAAWAWATAWATATACCGCGGTGATAAATTAATTRRYGCGGCTATAGCGCTCTAGCAGTGAAAGAGCTTGTTAATCAAGCAATTCTTATTTTTCTTTCATGACGATTTTCTTCTTTTAAAGCAGTGTAATAGTTTTTAGCTATAAGCTTTTTAAAATTGTTTTTCAGTTACAATGGGGTTTATTTGTTAAGTTTCTCGTTTTTGATGATGGATAAATTTATACTGAAAAGAATAAATTCAAATGGAAACAAGGATTTACCAAGCTGATTCGCAAGTTAGAGCATGGCTAACTCACATATGAAGTGGTGTATGATCGAATCAAGAGGGACAAAATCAAAGCTATACTCACCTCGCTGGCAATGTGCCCGGCGATCCAGGAATCTTATCAGAGCACACCAGAGTCTTCTTGGATGCTAGGCACCACCTTGTAATCCCGATAGGTGGCTGATTGTAAATTAGTCGAAACCCATTAATGATCTATTATAAATCCTCCGACGCTAAAAGCCACGAACAATGGCGTGTAACTATCGTTCTCAACCTAATTTCAAAACTGTTTGTATATCCATTTATTTGACCAACTAGTAGGTATAGACTAAACTATTAGTAATTTCAATCAGGGTTCGTGCTACATTTTCKTTACAAAATTCAAGGACTTTTCAAAGCACTTCTCAAACACAAAAATTCGATTTTCAAAGACAAAGWTTTTTGTATTAGAAAATGGTTTAAACATTGATTCGATATTACAGTGCAGCTAATTCAGCCGGGGCCACTAGCTTAGATAAATAGATCTTTAATTTACGCATTCT